ATTATTATTATTGTCTGTCAAAAGTTTTGTTCTGACCAACCAATCAGAGGGCAGAAAAGTTCTGAATTCAGCAAGGGCATAAAGGGGAACTTTTTATCTTTTTTTTTTTTTTTATATATTTCTTTTATACTCGTTTTAACACTGAATAATATTAAATCAAGAGTCGCTGGCTGCACATTGTGCAGAGTGGGCTTTGTGTGTGGGAATCACCTGTCGCCGCAAATCCATATTTCAAATCGGTCTCCTGTTATTGTCTGTGAAATGCAATTTTCTTTGTCTTCTTGGTCGTAGGCTCTTGTGTCGTCACATCACTGGGGCTTTTCCAGATATGTCTGCTTTTCATTAATTTTGCTAGCTTGTGGGTTTAATGGCATTACGTGACCGAGTCGGTCATAGACGGATGTAACAGAGAGAATCCGTTCACTTTTCAAAGTGAAATATTTTTTAGCCTTGGATAAAAAAATTTAAAAAAAGATAATAATCTGGAGGTCCTGTAAATGTTTTCGTATGCGGCCTGTCCGATGGTTGGGGACCACTGTGCAGGATTACATCACAACGGGAGGACCTAACACACTTCCCAGCATTGAGACTACCATGAGGAAACACATTGAAAATGAAAGTCAATTTCCTTTTCATGAGTTACATTCAACACATAAAATGCATGGTGCCATAAATGGAGTCTTGCCATAAACCAGAACATCATATAAATAATGAATTTCAGGGGGAAAAAAATTTGGAAACAACCGCTCTTTTAATTTATATGGTTTAGCTGTGTATTACATTTTATAATGCCAATAACCCAAATTTTCTGTGGAAAACGTCATAAAGCTCTAGATTTGGTCCCACTCAATGTTGTATTGCACAATTTCTTGTAATATTTTGATATCAACTGTGTTCTTTACAACAGGAGCCTTTTAAATACACAAAAGCAGCCTTTGCGTTTCTGTTTGCTTTTTCTTTCTCACTTGTGATTGCTTTTGTGAAAAGGCCCCACGGTATTAGTCGAGAACAATGACACCACTGTGGCAGCCTTTTGATTAATTAGCTCAGTTTCCATGAGGAGATGAGACCCCGGTCACGCTGGGAAATCATTGCCTTGTCAGTTCTGAAGGAGTAAAAGTTGGCGAATTAAACAGGGATTTAACAACAGGCTTAAAGAGCTGTGATCAGAAAAAAAAACGTGCTACTCTGAGAACGGCACGTGTACAATGACAGATGATTTGGACTTAAGTCTACATCACAGGATGCGACTCCTTTGCTCCCTCGTCAGACGTTCCCTCTGACTTCAAATAAACCCGACAACGTTCCGCTTTGCCTTGCCAGAATTTAAAACCGTCTTAACGCAATCACTTCCAAAGTACATCAAGTGCCCTCCGGGGATGTATTCTTCTTTTGTTCTGCTTGTTATTAAAGATGCTGCATTCTTCTTACCAATAGACCAAAAAAAAAAAAAAAAAAAACAGGGATTCCAATCTAACCTTTGACTCCATGCCAACATGTCATTCGTGACCTCCGGGTGACGCCGGGCATGTATAAGAGCCTTTGACACCTGGAAGAAAGTTTCTCAGAACCGTCTTGCGTGTTTACTCGCATGCCACCCGGTTCCGCTGTTTCCTGCGGATCAAAGCTGTGCTTTCTCTTCGTCAATTTTTCTGTTTTTTTTTTCATCCCTAGGAGCATTGGAACAACCCTTTTCCACCCTCTTGTGGCTGTAACGGCTTTGTTTGTGATCGCCAGGCGGCGTTTTGTGTGTTGGCAACCCTGTGTGGTCTCAAAGCATGAGGTGTAATAAGGCTTCTGCTGTGATTTTTTTTTTTTGTGACTGTGTTTTGAGTTAGATCCTTGAGGTTGTGACATGCTACTGTATAGTCCTTTATGTTGGAATCTTTATTTTGTCGTATAGGGTTCGGCATGGCCTGATGTCTCCCATTATCTAAATTTGGAGTGTCAGAATGTCAACCTTTTTTCCATGCCTTCTGCATCCAGCCCTGCTCTCCTTGCATGGTGGCCGAGGCCCTCACAAGCCCAGAGACCCCAGCTGGCACCCGCGAAGAGCTAATGCATCTTGAATGAATCATGAAAAACTTTTACTCACAGATCTTTCCACCATCTTCCTATCCCTACCTTCTCTTCTCTGAAACACAAATAAAATTTTCAAAGGTAACTTTATATTGATTTTTATTACGTTTTAAAATAGCGACAATTGTAAAATTTTAGAAACAATTACATCTTCCACTTTTATTTAAAAAAATACATTAAGCAGACTATTTTTATATTGTTTTCCAAAAAAATAACCCAAAAGAAACATGGGAAAAAAACACTGAACTGTGAACTGTGAAACAACCTGTGCTTCAGAAACTACCGGTAAGTACACTATTACAGCGATGTCTGACTGTCTATGTAGCATCAAACACTTTGTTTGAGGCAGGCCAGACGCTTCCTGATGAGCTGGTTCTCCTCCACCATCCTAGAAATGGTCTTGAGAACAGATAGCCTTGCCTGTCCAAAGAGCAAAAATAGTCAGAAGTTCTTTATTATTCTGTTCGTGGAGATATCTGCTTCAACAAACAAAAAACAAAAAATATATATACTGTTCACACAAATAAAATATGAAACGAACCATTATTGTACCATATGGTAGCAGTACTATTATTTAAATAATACAGCATGTTCTTGATTGTTGAGCAAGACAGAGCTTCACATGACTGATTTAATGTTACAAAATGCTAATGCTGGTGAGCACACTCATTCCAACCCACTAACTTTAAAATAACCTTTAAAACTTCATAGATTCACCTTTGATCATTATTCTCAAAAACTAAATCAGATTCACGGCCGCGGCCCACCACCTGCCGAGTTGGCACAACTCAACATTTTTTTTCTTATTGGAGGTTGCTCATCATAAAACATTCTGTTGTTAACAACACACATATGTTTCAAAAAAGAACCTTTTCTTTGTCACTGGATGCTTTGCTTTGGAATCCCTGGGAGAAGGAGAAAGGATCTTCAACATGTTTGCAATCCATTTCAGCAACTAACAAAACAAAAGATAAATGTCATTGTGGTGCATGCTTACTTTTCTCACTGTAACACTGTAAAGAAGACATTGGACAGGCTTTTAATGTACTGTTGACTCAGTGAACAACAAGCACCCTACACTTGGCCTTTTTTTCCTGATAGAAGAGCAGTGTATCAAGGAATTTTGGTTTAGAATTTATAAGACACAAAAGAGCACAGCGCTAATGACCTGAACCGGGGAATTGCAATTTTTAGACAAACTTTATCTAATAGAGTACAGGGATTAGAGAGAAAGGGAGTGAAGTTTTTTTTTTCTTAATATAAAAGACAGTCTTATATGCTTTGCAGAATGTGCGAGTCAAATTTATCATGATTTAACGTGATAAGTTTCATTTGATTATGTGAAACCTATCAGATTAAAACGTGATATTAATCACTTCCATGACATTCTTGGGTGTGTGTGTGGCAGCAATCATTTTTCGAAATTGCCCGGAAACCAGATACAAACATTACATTTTGGTAAAGAAAAAAATATGTTTTCCTCTTTATGTCTTCATTGACCACCTTTGCTCATCAGAAGGGAAATCATTCTGGGGCTTGTTAAATGACTGCTCGCAAACCTGAAACTGGTTACACAGGTGATGTAGTCAGATGGCTACGTATGATTTTTTTGTTTTGTTTTGTTTTGTTTTGTTTTACCTTTGGGCTGCGCGAGCACGTTTCCAATGGGTGCCTCCTGTCTCTTCATATCATTGGACAACGATCGTTTGGCTCGCTTCGGTAATTTTACTTTGAGAAGGCCCGGGATTTTGTCGTCTTTCGTTGTCGGTTTCCTTCGCATGCTCCTGGGAATTCCGTTACAACCCTGCCTCTCTTTCTGTTGCGCTTCCCGTCTTTGACTTGAGTGACAACGTGAGCCCAAAGATGCGAACATCGTTTTTTTATTCGACATCATGAAGTCTTCACAGTAAGTTAGCATAAGCATAAATATAAACCAGTCCTGTTTTGTATACAGCCAGCAGGTGGCGACCATACTCAATCAAGACGACGTGAAACAAACTCGGCGATGACGTCACTGGAGCGGCAAACGCACAGCTCATTTCATTCTATAAATTGTATGTATTAATAACATGTTCGTTTTGTTTTCTGTTTACTGAGAATTGTATTCTGACTTGTTCAATAAAGATTATTAAAAAAAAAAATTCAGTCTATAAATATAATCCGGCTATTTGATTGAAATGTCTCTGTTTTTGAAGCTTTTCATTACATGTATATTCGGTTGTTCTATTTTTTTTTCCCAGAGTCGTTTTACACACGTATCTGTGTGTTATACTAAAATTGAAGTACAGAGTATAGTTTTGTCACCTCCTGGTTCTTTTCGTAACTAATGGTTCAAAAATAACAAGATCCTTGATTAAAGTTTCAATACAGGACATAGCATCAGGATAAAATTCTCTTTAATAAGTAATAACATATGAGATTTAAAAAAATAAAACCTGAATTACATGAATATTTTTTAATTTATTTGTTTTGCTGTAGAATTGCAGCAAATGCATATGAGGTGAATGCACGGACATACCACTTGAACCTCACAAACAGAAAATGCCATCAAGTATACTCAGCTAGAATTAGCCACGGTGCTATAGATTACTGAGTCGGCATTCTGTCCCATTTTGAGCCTATGGATGAAAAACAAAAGCATGAATGAGTACAGTTCTGATCTAACAGCACCCCCCCTCCCCCATCTATGTTCACTACATTTAACTTTGCCTCAATATTATGTGTTTGGCCAATAAACCTACCTGGATTCTTGTGATCTGTTTTCATCAAAATGAGATTTTTTATCTTGAATGGTGACCGTTGAGTAGGTAACCTCATCACAATTGGAAATGGATGAGCTGTTATTTGACTGAGGGTGGGAGCGTTGCCGTCGGGTATTCACATGTCCATACAGGTGCATCACATTGGCATGTTGTTTTTTGGAGTAATTTCGTGGTGGAACTTGAGGGGATGGCATATATTTGCCAACGTTGGCATAAACACTGTTGGACTGATCTTCAGTGGAGGCAGAGCTGACTTGTTCGGAAGGAAACTGCACCTGAATGGTCAATAATCATTATTAATGAGTGGTTAGTTGTTGTGCAAGAAATGAAAACAAAACTACTGTATATAGTATTTATGTCCTTGGAATATTTCAAAGAACCAACTGGGATGGCACCACATCGGGCGAGGTTCTGCATGGCATCATCAGAAATGTGTGTCAGCCCAGTTAAGTCCCTCAAGCATTTTATTTGATATTCTAAAATATATTTATCATTATTTTTCAGAAAATCCAACCACAGTTAAAAAAAAAATCCAGTATGCAAAGAAACTGTCCCTTCTGGCTCAGCTCCCTTTTCTCCACGACAGACAGACACAGAGTATGCATTATTGCAGATGCTGCACTGTCGATCTCACGCTCCATCCTCCCTTCACTTGTGAACAAGACCCCAAGATACTTGAACCCCTCCACTTGGAAGGGCATCTCATCCTCGGTGGAGGTGCTAATTTTCATCCCAACCACTTTGGCTGCGAACCGCTCCAATAAGAGTTGAAGATCATGGCTTGAAGAAGCCAACAGTACCACAACATCTGCAAAAAGCAGCCATGTAATATTGAGAATACAAAAGTCTGTCTATAAATTATGAACAGTCTGGGACGGTCAGTCACAGGTGTGGCATTTCACAACCAACCAGGCTCGTGCTGGGACCAAAATTCAGCCTTGGAGTACAGCAGGTGGTGGTATTTTGGGGGAATGAGTCGATGCAGCCATTATGCTGTCAAGTTGTCGTCGATGGGTCTCCAAAACTAACAAAGTCGGCGACGGGGTCCCGCCGTCAAACACTGAAACATATTCGTTGATGAGGGGTGGGGCGGATGGCTACTCGTGGCTGTGAGGGCCCAGACAAGCGCTGATATACACCAACCCCCTGCGTCCAACATCCAACATCACCAGGACCAGCCCTTGGTGCCGATGTCACGCCTCAGCATCAGAATAATGCGGATCCAGGATGCCGGATCCTTATGTAAAACCGCACAGTTGCAGCAATATGCCTTATAGACAAGCTTTTGTGTAAACAATCTGGCTTATCTGCTATGGGGGTTGTCACATAAAAAAGGCTTCTATCTCACAGCTGGCTAGGAAATGCATCTGCAGTAGAACTAGGAGAGGTGGCCAAGGCCAGAAAAGTCTGATCAGATGCACATAAGTGAAATGAAACAGATGGATGGAAGATACAAACCTTTTTCTCTGTCTTCCTCTGTTTCTTCCTAACACAGGGGGGATGAAAAAAATTAAATATTGTGAATAGCAGCATTTTGTACAACATTGAGTTTGGAAAAAAAATCTTTCTTTGACAAATGTGTGTCTCTTCGCTGCGTGAATTTTTTTTTTTACATTTACACAATGCAGCAAGGGTGCTTAAGTCCGGTACTCGAGAGTCCCTCCCTATCCAGCCTGTTTTTAATGTCTTCCTCCTCCAACACACCTGATTCAAATGAACATCTCATGGGCAAGCTTTGCAGAAGACCGATAATGAAAATGATCATTTGAATGTGGTGTGTTGGAAGAGGGAGACATCTAAAATTGGCTGCATTGAGGCTCTCAAGGACCGGAGTTGGACATTCATGCAAAACAATATTGCAATATCTAGGTCATGTTGTCGATATTTCATGTCATACACTGTTTTAAATCTCTTCAAGCACAAACCCATGTTGGGCACAGGCGTGCTGCCAGAGATTTGGAGTGCCTGAAAATGTTCACTTTGGGCCCCACTGCTTCAATATGGAAAATTGAGAAAAAAAAAAAACCCTGGTTCGGCAATAGTGGTCCATGAAGTTGCGCAACACTTGAATTACATCAATTTCCAAGCATTTAGAGGAAGTGCAAAAATAACCAGATTTGCTAAGAGATGTCAAATATCCTCATGTAAGTGTTAAGTCACACTATACATCCATGAAATCAGTAACCTACCAGAGGAAAAGAAGAGCTACAAAAAGTATTGCAAAAATACAGGCTCCAAGTCCACCAAGTATTGGGACAGACAGGTGACCTGTAGACAGAATATAAATATATAAATGGGTAGGTGGGATGACTACTGAGCATTGAAAGGACTTTTCAGCATCATGTCACTCATACTGTACTTCCGAGTGGCAAAATACGGAGTTTTTATCAATAACGGCATTAGTAAACAAACCCTTCCATGTCATTTTACCAAGGCAGAGTGATTGAGAAAACAGGGAAAATGGCGGGAATGATGATTGAAGTGTTTTTCGCTGCCACTGTAGTTTGAATGTGTGAATTATCACACCTCGGGACAATTTGGAGTGTTCAATCAGCCTGCCATGCATGTTTTTTGGAATGTGGGTGGAAACCGGAGTACCCGGAGAAAACCCACACAGGCCCGGGGAGAACGTGACAATTCCACACAGGGAGGCCGGAGCTGGAATTGAACCCATAACCTCTGCACTGTGAGCTCACTGTGCGGTCACTTTTTTTTTTTTTTTTACAAAACGTGACAGAGGAAGTAACACAAACCATAAGAAGGCTGTTCCTCCATTGCAAGAAGGATTTTCGTCGAGTTGATGACTTCAAGTTGGCTCGAGGCCTGGCAGAGGTAGATTCCAGTGTGGGGCGTTTCCATGGAGGAAAGGAACAGAAGTTGTCCCGAGCCCACTTGGAGCAGGGAGCTGGAGCTGGTCCACTTGTACCACACATAGCTGTGGTTGGCAGAGTTGGCTCTGCCGCTGCACATCACATTGACACTATTGCCATCAGCAACACTTGGCAGATCTGTGAAAACCAAGACGATGGACGATATGAAAAAGTTAAGTCTGGTGTTAGACAAAAAATGTGACATGCTCCTGTGAAACAACAAATTTGTATCCAAAAATGTCAGCAACAACAACAAAAAATGTCATCGATAATCCGCTGTCATGAAAAGTAATTCACAACCTTTGACTATCTCTCTAAATATGAGGAATATGAGGGCTGTGAAAAAAATGTGTGAAAGTCTAACATAACACTTCTTGAAAAATATTTTTATGTGGACAAAAGTAGTGTGGACACCCGGCCCACAGGAAAGTATTTTATTTATTTTTCTTCCACATGATATTTCACAGTGCTCTCACCACGCAATAAACATTGGCGGCTGTTTGGCACATTTTGCTGTTCTTCCGTTTTGTGAGATCACGTATGTGATCCAGCAAGAGGACAACGAGACTGTTAGCAAGGAAAGAGAACTTCGCTGTACATCACAAAATATGTGTCCAAATGCATGAAATCACAATCTATCAAATTACTTTGTGTGTAATTCTTGAATTTTTGGCACATGGATGCCCGCAAGTTGGGGCAGCATATGATTCACCAGTACAAAGGAAAATCAGAATACATGAGTATAAGGTACCGGAAGTCTCAAAATTACGGTACATGACATGAACGGCTGGGGATACATACACTGCACATCCAGATTGAGCTCAGTCGATTTCACAAATGTGATGCCCCTCACGCTGACATTGTTTGAGGCCTGACAGTGATACAGTCCACTGTGGCTGGGCTGAAGAAGAGAGATGGTGTGACTTGGTCCGGAACTTATCAATTGCTTGCCCTGATACAGGCTGAAGCCACTTGGTGGAACGGGTGGGTTGGCATCACCTCTGCAGCTGAGAGTCACAGAGCTTCCATTAATGATGTCTGCCGGTGGTGTCATTGACAACACAACGTTGCTTGGAGCATCTGATTGAAACAAAAAAAAGTCAGTGACAACAGAGTTTCAAAAATGGGATGAAGACCTCCAAAGGCTTGCTTTTAATACCAGCGGGACCCTCTTTCAAGCAGAAAATGTCTTTAGAGGGTAAAAAAAACAAAGTCTGGTGGCACCAATTATCTTTGCCAGTAAATATGACAACTAAAAGGCTTTATTCAATAGTCGACTCACAACAAGTCATTGATCAGCTCAGAAACAAATCTTTTGTTTTCTTGACACGTTTGATAGTTTCCTGCATGTCACTTTCAACATGTGGGCACTTGGGATATCCGGTATTCTGTAATTGAATCCAAACTTAAAGTGCAATATTCTGTTTAACCTTCGGAGGGCGCTGGATTTAGAACAGTCTGTGAAGGAGGAAAATTGCTTAATTCAGCGGGAAAATGCCGTGGAGGGCCAGATTTGCATTTTTGAGTTGAGCCATGCACAGCGTGTATCTGGCTTGCGGGTGCGTAAATGACAGATTTGAGCGGACGGGAGAATGCGCACAGCCGAGAAAAGCATGCAACTTTGTGCCTATTCTGATTGACGCATAGCTGCATGAGAATACGATATGGCTATTGAAAAGTTTGACATTTTCATGTCAATAAAAAATGTCACGCTATGACTAAATGACGAATGAAAGCATGATTTATGACGATGCGTTTTTGTCTTGATTCCCGCTCCTGACAAAAAAAAAAACCAAAAAAAAACCACAACATTGCAAGAAAAGATATTGTCTCGTTTTACGTTTCCATCAATTTTCTATACTGCTTGCCTTCACCAGGGTGGTGTGGAGCCTACCCTATCCCAGCTGAATTTGGGCAAGAGGTGGGGTACACCCTGGACTGGTCGCCAGTCATTCGCCGGGCACATATCTCATTACATCCATCCATCCATTTTCTGAACTGCCTTATCCTCACAAAGGTCGCGGGGGGGTGCCGGAGCCTATCCCAGCTGTCTTTGGGCAGTAGGCGGGGGACACCCTGAACCGGTTGCACACAGAGACAAACAACCATCCGCGCACACACTCACACCTAAGTAGAATTTTGAGTGTTCAATCAGCCTGCCATGCACATTTTTGGAATGTGGGAGGAAACCTGAGTACCCGGAGAAAACCCACACAGGCCCGTGGAGATCATGCAAACTCCACACGGGAAAGCTGGAGCCGGGATCGAACCCACGACCTCTGCACTGTGAGGTCGACGCACTAACCACTGGCCCACCTGGCCGCCCATTCTCATTACAAAATCAATAAAATACCAATGGACTTGCTGTTTCATTGTGTTATGAAAATATTCAAGCAATACTTAGTCAGCAATTATAAAAGGTTAACAATATCGACAAATGGGCAACACTATGCCTATAATGATGCTATTGACATCTGCTTTGATAAAAGTCAATAAATACTCACATTGAACATTTAGAGCCACAGAGGCCGATTTGATCTTCTCTTGCCCGGCGACAGCACAGTAGTACTTCCCAGAATCTTTTCTGCTGGCCTGGAAGACCGGCTGTGGTACCACATTCCCATCTCGGTACCAAACATGCTTCGGTGTACCACACTCGCTCCTGCACGTCAGGCTGACAGATTGGCCTTCTGTCACTGTGTTTGGCTCCACAACAGCAGTCAGGTCTGCTCAAGAAATTTATGATTAAACGGAATGTCTGCGTGGCATCCAAAACTAGGGTAGGGTGATATGGCCTTAAAATAAAATCTGTCATTGTTTCACCGCCCCCCCCAACCATGTTAAACAATTTAACATGATAAGATAAATTATCAAAACACATGGCTCGACTTTTCTATATGTAATTCTCAGCTCTTCTCTGTTGGCAGCTATATTATTAGTGCAAGCAGTGCACATAAGCAAGGATGCGCTTTGAATTACGGAAGGTGTTAAAAAAAAAGTCAAATTAGCAATAAACTCAAATAAATAAAATTCATCAATAAAAAAACGTGAAGCGTCTATACCTTTTACTGACAAATGAAGTGCATTTTTGCTCATCCAACGGCTCAGCGACGTCACAAAACGAAAGAGGTAGTGTCCTTCATCGGTATGTTTTATGTTATTGATCTTCAAACTGCAGTCTCCCCGGTAGTTGCCCACATATTCAAAGTGGGGTGGGACGGAAGTGGATATGTCCCAGACCCACCTGCCAAACTGCCATTGACCTGGAACCCAGCGAACTGACGTGACAAAGTGAGGAAAAGGGTAGTCATACTGGCAACTCACAACTACCGTCGTCCCTTCCAAAGCACATTGATCCTTGAATGTCACTCCCCAGTCTCCACCCAGTACACCTTAGAGCAAAGGAAGTCAGTATGAATAAACATTAATCACATCAAATTCCAGACATCGATATGGTTGTAACAGGAGGATTAAACATTAAACAGCCAAAATCCATGCAGGGTTTTGATCATGTGATAACTCATTTGTGATGACAAAGGTAAAATGAAACTCACCTGAAATGACCACCAAAATAACCCAGCTTTCCTTCATTGTTTAATCAACCCAAAACATATTCCATTTGTTAAAAAAAAGGATGAAAATTTATGTTCAGAAAAAAACAATAAAACATTCTGACAATACGCACTCACTAACACGCATTGCGCACTGTACATGATCAAGAAACCTTTTCAGAGATGAAAAAGCAGAAGTGGGGAGAGAAGAAATATCCTGCTTCCGTTCTCATCTTTGTGCATAAGCAACAAGATGTAAATTCCCTGCCCCCCCCCCCCCCAAAAAAATCAACCTAATGTATAGCTAAATACTAGCCTCAGATTGATTCATCTTTTTCGACTGTTACATTGTGTGAGCTTCTGTGAGACTCTTTTGAGTCTTTGCTTGTGTTGACTAACGTGCTAAGATACGATGATGCAATCCATAAAACTGGGAAGTTGGACATTTCTAACAGTCGGCGAGAGTAAACGTGCACTTTTATGATTCTTGTTCCTGATTGTAAAGTGTCCTTGAGTGTTTTGAAAGGTGCTTATAAATATAATGTATTATTATTATTATTATTACTCATACAATTTTGACCTGTATTTATTGGTCATTTCATGGGGGTTGTCCTTTGACCTAACCTTTTATGAATGCAAAATGTTGAACAGCTATATCACACTATCCTCTAAGTCATTTGATAGTACAGTATGTGGTTTTGTTTTGTTTTAATGATCATGCCTGCCCAAAAAGTTTTGCTTGATTGTCAGGACCTTTGACAGGCAAATTCAATAATGTGTAAAAGTCTTAGGTCATCGCTAGCTTTTATTTTAGAATGACCCTATTTTTCATAGCACTCAGTATAACTTTTACGACGTTAACTAATGGGACGCAGCAAAAATGGTCCATGACTGCGCTGTACATCCAATCACATTCCAACAACCCATTGCATTTCAATCCATTAAGTGATTATATCTGGATATGTGGGCATTATTGCTATTATTTTCTTACTATTATTATTGTTGTTGTTAGTATTGCCATGTGAATCAATACACTATCATTGAAACCCTTCCCCCCAGAATTATGGTACCTCATACCCGGACCAGAATTATGGTACCTCTCATCTGTTCTCAATTCTCAAGGAACCAGTAAGTAGCCTGGTAATAAAAAAAATTAAAAAAAAGATATTTATATCTATTTGGTAAGGGTTTATCTTGTCTCTCTCATCATTCCCTTTGTAATCCAGAATATTGTCAGATATTTATTTTTTCCAATTGATCCCCTTGGTTCAGTTCCACAGTCCGTCCAATGATACATTGTTCCAGGATGAGAAAAATAAAGAATGAGTAAAAAAAAAATAAAATAAAATAAAAAAAAAAGGTGGAAAAAAACTGGTGCACCACTTCATGCCGACCTGACCAAATGACTCAACAGTTTACCACACCCAGATGAAAAACAATTAAATGTGCTCATACTGTATAGCAAAAAGCCACAGAATTTCAAATGTAGCGAAAGCAACAGCATGAGAGGTATTAACCTTTGAGATGATCTACACAGGGCAGCATTGGTTAGCACGTCCGCTTCACATTGCATCAATCCGGGATTCGATTCTGGCCCCGGCCTTCCTGTGTAGTTTGCATGCCCCCCGTGCTTGTGTAGGTTTTCTCTGGGTACTCCGGTTTCCTCCTACATTCCAAAAACATGCATGACAGGTTGATGGAACACTCTAAATTGTCCCTACTTGTGATTCTGAGCACAAATAGTTGTCTGTGTGTGCCCTGCAATGCGCTGGCAACCAGTTCATGGTGTACCACGCCTACTGCCCAAAGACAGCTGGGACAGGCTCTAGCACACCCACGACCCTCATGAGGAAAAAGCGGTTTCAGATTATGGATCGGTGGATGATCTACCGGTACACACATTTTAAATGTGATGAAACTATTAATTTCATGCTCCCCCTAATATGAGGCATTGTTTTTTTTTTTTCTCAAGAGACATTTTCTCACGCCATCCATCATTAAAAAAAAAAAAAAATGTAAAAAAAAGGGGAAGCAATTGATTCTTCCTCACAGCTGTTTTATTCGTTCAACATCTCACATTACAAATACTTCAAATGTATGCAGACAGTTACAAACAAGGTTGGCAGCAAATGAATGACATTAGGTCTTTGTTTTGACTTCACTTCTACAAACCAGCTATCAAAACTGACGTCTGTATTGTAGTGTAAAATAATCAGGAAGAAAATATAAAAATTAGATCTTAAGTATAAAGGTGAAATTACTTAATAAAAATCCAAATTATAAATGTGAAAATACTAAATAAAAATCCAAATTATATAAGGTTAAAAAAAAAAAAAGTTAATAAATAGAACCTTCCCAGCATACAATTAAAAACTATTGGACATTTGCAATCAAGTAATACTAAGACATATTCAATATTCTTTTTCATCTGAAAATGCAGAGCACAAAACAACATTTAGAAAAACTAGACACGTCAACAAGTTAAACACTTCACCCCAAAAATATAACAAAAATCTGATCCAAATCATAGTCATACATTTCAATTGAAAATATAGCAAATGTAATACATTATCAACCTTGTTTATACAATGTTTTCAATCACAGTTGCATGGTAGTAGCAAAATAAGTACGTAAGCACAAAACTAAACGTTTAAAAATAAATTCATGTATAAATTAGCTTTTTTTTTATATATCTATATATATATATATATATATATATATATTTATATACTTATGCCTTGTAGACATCTGTATGAGGGAACAAAAAGAAGGGAACAATAATGTGACTGCATGATTTATGGATTCAATGACTGACTGCGAAGACTTGTTTCTGGAAAGAAAAATAAGTATTGCACATAATGGCTCACAGTTAAACTTGCAACATTACATCACATTCAGGTTATGTCCCAAAGCATGCCACATCACAAAAGGGGTCAAGTGATCAAGTCTTCTCACCTATGTCTTACCGAGTGTCCTCTACATTACAAAAGTTTTGTCATCGTGTCGATTGCATAAACATGTCTGTGTGAGGAAGGCAGACTCCGTCATGTAAAGAGAGAGGTGATCTCCAAAGAGACAATGAAAAGAAAGAAGGAGCACTAGTGCGTTACATCATTAGGTCCTGCATTAACGCTAGCCGTGTAGTTGCTGTGGTACATAATTATGCATGCCGAGAAGAAGTAGAACTTACAGGCAGTCCCAGAAAGAGGATCTAAATAGTCAAACCCACTCAAGGTGACAGAAGGATGTTTACGTGTCGACCAAAGCCAAACATTTATTTTACTCATAATCATACCAACTACACCTAAGAGTGAAATACCAGAATATATATGGATATATGTATTTTCAAGACTATCAAAATCTTTTAGAAAGGTCTTGCCATGCCTTAGGATCCCGTAATAATGTTCATCGGGGCAGAGGAGAATCTACGTACGATTGGCTATTTTGAAGCTCCAGAATCACACCGATACGCCAGACAATGTTCAGATTTACCAGCACTTAAATATATAAAAGCTAATTGAAAATTATATTAATATCATTCATTTTCTTTTTTTTTCTTCTTAAATTAAGTTTACCATAATTGCAGATCTCTTAGTAACAAAGGTACAAAATTATTTTTCACCAAGTGAAAAAAATGAGGTATTGCAAAAGGAGTTCTCCCATCTGTGAAAAATGTGCCTAAAATGACTATTGAAAAAAATATTTAGAAAAGTAGTGCATAATAAATGTATATATGTCCATGACAAAATAATCAGCTATAAAACACTGTACAAAAATCAGCAGGCCATGTATAAAATAATATCTTTTTCTCTGTGACAGCAAATTCTAGCTACAACCATATCCGACCACAACACCAGTGAGAGAAGTTCCAATTCAGGTAGAGCGTGCAGTGGTACACCATGAAGACAGCCCAGGGACAAGGAACTGTGCATTCCCGTAGTTTGTACTACATTAGCATGTTAGCTTCCAGTGCTAATATCCCTGACAATATAAAGCAAGCAAATACTACTGCCAATACCTGAGCCACGAGGGCTGGGCCTTAATGAGCTGAAAGTCCAGAAGACTACCGGTTACTTGCTTCTCCCGTGTGACGAGAGGAGGCGACTACCCCGCGTCGACATCTGTTCTCAACGATTGCGTTTTGAGGCCAATCTTTGGTTTGCCCTTTCCGGTTACAAAGTGTCAACTTCTAAACAGAGACTTCAAACAATTGCAAGCAGTTCAAACGCAGCTTTTGCCACAGGCAGGGGAGACTGATGTGTGATGGTGGCCAGCTTTCAAACAGATCAACTCGCCATCTAAAGCAACATTCTTCCTCATATTTCAAACCCAACTCAAACTTTGGTAAATGGTACTTGTTTTCAAATTCTGCACGCAAAAAAGAAAAAAGAAAAAAAGAAAAGAAAACGTACTCTCCCCAATGCAGCTTCCATCGTCAGTATACTGATTTAGGTATTATGATGAACCCCAATTAAATTTTGTTACTCTTGACAACAAATGTAAGCAGCTTTGCCAGCTAACACCAACAAAATTACAGTCAAGTAAGAAAACATCGAAATCCAAATAGAATGCATTCAATATGTTCATGCACACTTTTTAAGTCAAAACATAAATGGGATTTTACGCTCTTCTGAGCAGTCACTATGTTTAGAGGGCCCAATTTTTAAAAAATAATATAAATTAAATCTTTTTTTTAACTTAAAAGAAAAGTGCATTTATATTTTTCATATCATAGGTCACCCCAATACCCCCTTCCCGAGCGACCCTTTTCTCTCAGAGAGCCCCCCGCCCCCACCCCACCCCAACCCATCCTAGGTTCTCTCCCTTGCCTTAGTTCCAGCGGAAGGAGATGTGTCGGGGTCGGTCACCACCTTCTTTCACCAGGGGCTTGTGGAACTCACGGCCGGCCCGGGAGTGGATGGCCGCCCAGCAGTATTCACAGTAGTACTGCAGACAGGTCACGTTGGCGCAGAAGAACGGCGCAAACTTCCCCCCGCAGCGTGTTCCCTGGCACTCGTCACACAGCTGGTCATCCAGCACGTATGGCTTCACTTCCACCTGGCGACACAAATTAATTAATATCGAGCCTCGAAATGAAGGACCATGCTTACTGTAGTTAAAATGATTCACAGAGCCACAGGAAGTTTTCCGGAAGAACATACTATTCGCTGAACAATGCGCCGATCCAACATTTTGTAAGTTACAAACGGCACATTGTGGAAGAATGTCACCATGCGGCATAAGAGGGTAAGTT